TCTGTGTGTAATCCCTGGTTGTGTTGCACAGTTGAAGGGTTCAAGAACCTAAAGTGGCTGTCAGAAAAATATAATAGGCTGGATAATGGAACCTTCTAAATAAGATACACAGTATCAGCTTTGGCCCACTGTGTTGGTGGTATCAGCTTTGGCCCACTGTGTTGGTGGTATCAGCTTTGGCCCACTGTGTTGGTGGTATCAGCTTTGGCCCACTGTGTTGGTGGTATCAGCTTTGGCCCACTGTGTTGGTGGTATCAGCTTTGGCCCACTGTGTTGGTGGTATCAGGTTTGGCCCACTGTGTTGGTGGTATCAGCTTTGGCCCACTGTGTTGGTGGTATCAGCTTTGGCCCACTGTGTTGGTGGTATCAGCTTTGGCCCCACTGTGTTGGTAGCATTGAGTTTTGCCGGTTATTTCTTTACCATTTCTCCTGTGACTACTGTGATCCAGTGTTGCTGGCGAACACCTAGTTTCTCTCTCATTCACCACACACTGGTTCTGTTTGAGACCACTTGTTAAGGTGCTCACACATTACCATGCAGCTTTCTCGGCAAGTTCTCCCTTGTTGTCTCGGCCTCATCCCACAATCTTTCATTTTCCACCCAATTCAACCCACAGATCAGGATGGTTTTAAGCTTTTTATGCCAAGTTGTTATCAAATTAGTGCTCTGCTGTTCTTCCTTATCTGCTGCACCTATTTCTGGCTCTATTGTCCGCTGAATCTATCCAATTACTTTCTGGGCCACTTGTATATCAATATCTATTAAATCCAAAAATGACTGTACTGTACTTTGCCTTTCTCATTCACTTCTTTGAGCGAAATGTACTGCTTTGTGGCATCTCCACATTTTCAGCAAACTAATTCCACCAAATCCTTTGTCATCTCTGCCAATTCTTTCCACTGTATTTCTAGCTGGTCTCTCACACACACGAACCCCGTCCATAGTCTCTCACCCTTCTCAACTGGTTTCTTGGTTGCCTTCTTCCAGCGCCAACATGTACTTGAGCACCATATTGCAGTGGTCACTGGTTCCTATGATCATTTCATACCTTATATACTTACACCAGCCTTATTGTGGGAGGACACCACAGCTAGTAATGCTGGTGTGTCATCTCCTCTGCTCTTGGCAGTAATAACTGTGGTGGTAGAGGGGGAAGTAGGAGCAAAATAGAAAGGCAACAAACAAGTTATCAAAAAAGGTGCCAAGCCGGTAGAATTAGAGAGAATTAAAGACTACAAAAGTAGAATTAGTGCAATCTGTGAAAATCTATATTATGCATCTTTAAAATTATTGTGCATATTTACTGAAATTTGGCACAAATATTTGTGTGTACACACACAATTTCTTGTGCTAGCACTGCTTTGTTATTCTTTCAAGAAATGTTTGTGTGTAAAGGAAAGTGATATGGACTGCAAAGTTAAGAGTCAACAAACAAGAAGTTATGGAATGAGAGCATGTGAGGCAGGAGAGTTGTCGTCCAAGCTCACAATAGAACGTGTTCAAGGAATAAGGTGAATATCAGACACTCCTAAATAGTATCCAAATGTTACACACAAAATTAAGCAAGGCAAACTTTGCTGATGCGGATAGCAACACCTTCTGGCTAAAGGCATGCTAATACAAGCCGCAACAAGAGCATTAACAATGACACCCGTGGTACTCTCATTTCCTCAGTACAACAACAACAACAGTTTACCTCTTAAAAACATGCATCACCACACTGTGGACAGCACCATGTCTATCACCTTACGTCCTACGCCCAGGTACTGCTGCATCTTTTGGGACTACAGTGGTACCTCGGAATGCGAGTGTCCCTGTATGCGAGTTTTTCGGAAGACGAGCAGGATTTCCTCGAAAAATATGTCTCGGAACGCGAGGGTTACCTCGGGACGCGAGTTTGTTGATACGCGTACAGGCCGACCTAGCACGGGGTGGTTCGGCAATCGTCGCCCCTCCGCCCCTCAGTTTACCATTGTCTCGCGCTCAGTGACTACCCCCACATAAATTCTTCTCGCGGATTTACAGTGTTTTGTTGGATTTTTGGTGATTTGTCTATACAATTTGTTATTTAATATCTCACCATGGGTCCCAAGAAAGCCAGTGGTAAGGATAAAGGCCAGAAAGCCAATGTGAGGATGACAATAGAGGAGAAACAAGAGATCATTCGGAAGCATGAGAACGGTACACGTGTTGTTGAACTTTGTAGGCAGTACAACAAAGCCACATCAACAATATGCACTATACTTAAGAAGAAAAATGAGATTATGGGTGCTAAAGTGGCAAAAGGAGTAAGAACAATAACGAAACAAAGACCACAAATACTTGAAGAAGTGGAAAAGTTGTTATTAATTTGGATACACGACAAGGAGTTGAGGGGTGATAGTGTTTCGGAGGCCATTATTTGTGAGAAAGCCAGGGTGTTGCACGAAGACCTTCTAAAGAATACCCCCTGCAACGAGTGATGCAGATACGAGAGTTTAAGGCAAGCAGGGGCTGGTTTGAAAAATTTAGAAGAAGTGGTATCCATAGTGTTACAAGGCATGGGGAGGCAGCCAGCTCAGACAAACCAGCCGATGGACGATTTATTGACGAATTTAAAGAGTTTGCAGAGGCTGAGGGATACCTACCGCAACAAGTGTTTAATTGTGACGAAACAGGACTGTTTTGGAAAAGAATGCCTAAGAGGATATACATTACCAAGGAGGAAAAATCCTTGCCTGGACACAAGCCTATGAAAGATAGGTTTACGCTTGTGCTGTGTTCAAATGCGAGTGGCGATTTGAAAATTAAACCCTTGCTAGTGTATCATTCTGAAAATCCAAGGGTTTTCAAACATTATAAAGTACAGAAAACCCATTTGTGTGTGATGTGGAAGTCTAATAAAAAAGCATGGGTGACTAGGCTTATTTTTTCGGAGTGGGTGAATGAAGTGGTGTGCCCTGCCATAGAAAAATATCTGCAGGAGAAACATTTGCCACTCAAAGCCGTGCTTCTCCTCGACAATGCTCCTGCTCATCCTCCAGGCTTGGAAGATGATTTGTTGCCCAGATATAATAAATTCCTCACAGTTAAATTCCTTCTTCCTAACACCACTCCTCTAATTCAGCTTATGGACCAGAAAATCATAGCGAATTTTAAGAAACTTTATGAAAGGGCACTTTTCCGGAAATGTTTTGAAGTGACTGAAGCCACAAACCTCACTCTCAAAGAGTTCTGGAAACAGCATTTTAACATTTGTAGTGCTTTAAAACTCGTTGACAAAGCCTGGCAAGAAGTGACTCAAAGAACCCTGATCTCTGGCTGGAGAAAATTGTGGCCTGAATGTGTGAGAGAACTAGACTTTGAGGGGGTTTGAGCCTATAAATGATGCGCCTATTGTTGAGGAAATTGTTAGTCTAGGCCAGCAAATGGGCTTGGAATTGGATGGTGATGATGTGGAGGAGTTGGTGGAAGAACACAACGAAGAACTGACTACCGAAGAGCTCCAAGCCCTTCAACAGGAACAGCAAGTCAACGCAGCAGCGGATGATTCTGCAGTGGAGGAGGAGGTGGCAGCAGCAGCAGCGAATGTCCCTTCTGCAGTAATTAAGAAGGTGTGTCAGATGTGGGAAGAGATTCAAACAATTGTTGAAAAGACTCACCCAGAGAAAGCTGTTGTAGGCCGTTGTCTTAATCTTTTCAATGACAATGTGATGCCTTACTACAGAGAGAGCTTGCGAAGAAGGGAAAAGCAAGCTTCCATGGACAGATTTGTGGTGAGGAAATCGAGCAGTGAGCCTCAACCAGGACCTAGTGGCACTCAGATAAAACGTGCCAGGGAGAGCACACCAGAAAGGTCCTCACTGCCTGATGTGATAATGGAAGGAGACTCCCCTGCCAAACATTAACTCCTCTCCTCCTCCCCCCTCCTCACCATCTTCCATACGCCTACAGCATTCAACAGCAAGGTAAGTAATAACTGGAACATAGTTTTGTAGGTTTATTTAGATGAATTAGGTATAAAAATTTAGTTTGATGTGGGGTTTTTGGGGTAGTCAGGAACGGATTAATTCATTTCCCTTTATTTCTTAAGGGGAAATTAGCTTTGGAATGCGAGTTTTCGGAATACGAGGCGTCTCCAGGAACCAATTAAACTCTTAAACTGAGGTATGCCTGTAATTACTCCCACCTACCATACAGGTCATCTCCATCACACTACCGAAGTGAGAAATATCAACTTTTCTTTCCATTTCAGACTTTTCTAAAAATAATTTTAGGAATAAAACCTGAGGATTAAATGACCCTTCCAAATCCACTTGTAGTATTTTAAGCCAATGTGTTTTCTGGATTTGCAGAGTACACCGCGTACTGGTATTAATCCCTTTGTAATATACACCAAGGCTGTTGGTATCATCGATATACTCTACCTCTTAAATACCTACTTACTAAAATACAAAGAAATTTTAAGTTGTCATTATTTTGAACATTATTAAAGTTTTAGCCCAAAATGTAACATTTTTGTGAAGGTGCAGTATTTGTGAGAACAGGATTATAGGAGCAGACAGGGAAACCTATGTCAGTAATGAACCGGTTAGCTAGAGCTATTTATCCTAGTTATACTATGTTACATGTCCATTTATTTGGGTAGGATTTATGATATAACCCATTTAATGATTGGTTAAAACAAACTCGCTCCATTATTCTAACAATGAAAAAAATGAAGAGCTGGGATTTATATTATAATAATTCCCTCTCCGTACCTCAATGTATCTCCTGGCTTCTAGTTTTATCTTGGTACAATTTCCAAGAACAACGTGCAACTTTCCCACATTATCTGGGGCACACTTTCCTTCCCCACATTATCTGGGGCACACTTTCCTTCCCCACATTATCTGGGGCACACTTTCCTTCCCCACATTATCTGGGGCACACTTTCCTTCCCCACATTATCTGGGGCACACTTTCCTTCCCCACATTCTTACATGTCACATCATCATAAAGAAGGTTCTTATACACTTTACCACACTTAAAACAAATTTATTTTTCCCATAAAACATTTCAGCCATGAATCCCACATCTACACTTTATGTATTTAAGCTTAGGAAGGATATAATACCTCTTCTCCCTACTCTGAAAGGGAAATGAAAAGGAGGTGCAAGAAATACTCGATAATTGTGATAACTATTGCAAGAATTATCAGAGAAGTCGGGCAAGGAAAACGTGTTTTTCGCTAGTTTCATTACGCTATGGAGACAGCAAGCGACGAGTGCCTCTGTGACGTGTCAATATCGCTGGTTGAAGTTGCCAGTCTGTTGAGTGTTGGTGTAGTTCATCATGCCGCCCTGCTGGACATGGCCTGGGTGTTGTTGCTGGTGAAGAAAATATATTATATGTAGAAAAATACTATTATTTTTAGAATACAAGTACAATACAAGTACAATACAAGTACAAGTGCCAAGTTTGCTTGGCATTTTGCATCTTTAATTCAACTTGCCTTTAACCGATTCTATATTTGGGAGAATAAAGTAATAGAATATAAATATAAAAAGTCCTTAATTTTATCAATATTTTCTTCACAATAAAAGCGTGATCTTTGCTACAAATATCTTCACTCTAGTTCATTAGGGCCACTATGGATGTACCAATTGAGAAAGGGAAGGGAGAAGGCACCAAGCCAGTAGGAATATATAGTACTTTGGGAAGGGGGTCAGGATAGGGGTTTGGGATGAGACAGGGGAAAGGAATGGTGCCCAACCACTTGGATGGTCGGGGATTGAATGCTGACCTGCATGAAGCAAGACTGTTGCTCTACTGTATAGCCCAAGTGGTTGGGCATTACAAATACAGAAATTTTGCCCAATATTGATACCAATACTTACTAATTGGCCAATACTTATACTCCGGTACAGTACAATACAGTGGAACCTCGGCTTACTAATGCCCCTATTTACAAACTTTTTCAGGTAATGAGCTCAATTTCTTTGTAAAATTCTATTCGATTTACGAGCTTAGCCTCGAGTTGCGAGTTTGTTGATACACGTATGGGTCGACCGGGCGCGTGGTTTGTGGTGGAATGAGCGACTGCGCCTCAGATTAACAGTGCCTCCCATGTAGTGACGATCGCATTTGAATTCTTTGTAAAGAGTTTTATTGTTTTTCAGCTTTTTCTGGTTTCTAAACATAAAAGTAATTATTATATAGCATGCCATGGGTCCCAAGAAAGTCAGTAGCAAGGTTCAACCTAAGAAAAATGTGAGGATGACAATAGATGAAAAACAAGAGATCCTTCATAGTAAGATAATGTGATGTCTCACTACACACACGTGTTAAAACATGGGGAAAACAGGTGTCGACAGACAGATTCTTAATAAGACAAGCAAGCCTCCATTAAGGGATAAATATGGGCAAAATTCAGATGAAAAAATTTATAACTCAAAAGGTTTTGCATTTATGAGAAAACAAGGAGAGGGACTTGTAGAACAATGAACTTTGCCCATAATACGCGGAAACTGTGAGAATCGATCAGAAACTATTTTATATTAGGTCAAAAGTTTAAAATTTTGTTCACAGAGGAAAATGAAGTTCAAGTTCTCGGCATTATATATGACTGTTCTACTTGATGGATTTCCTGGTAAGTGTTAACACTTTCGCGCCCCCTGGGATGGTAAAAAAAAAAAAAAAGCGGTATGTGCGCGCGGCGTTTTTGCCGCGTAAGCGTAAAAACAAAAATGTGTATACTCCTTTTTACTCTCCTGACCTTAGTTCTCGAGCTACGTATTTCATTTTGGTACCAACGTGTTCGCAGTACAATTCTCTAGAAGAACATCAGTAAAAAAAAGTCACGAAACGTATAGGGATACCAGCACCAAATAAATAACTACGAAGATGACTCGCCGTGAGCGCCCAACAGCAACAAAATGTTTTTACTCTTGGGATCGTTATCACCTCCACACTTGTCCTACAGCGTTAATTTTGGTATCAATGGACTCGCAATGAAATTCCCGACACGGTGATATGAATATAAACGTAGAATAATGATTGCGGCCCACCCGTAAGAGTGTGGGAAGTGGTGAAATTGTTACCCGGTATCGGTGACGGGACGACACATGTGCGATACGGCGCTTTGAAAGTTTATACTTATTTCACTCTCCTGACATTATTATTCTATGTACGTCATTCATTTTTGTGTCAATGTGTTCACAATAGAATGTTCTATGAGCCCGTAGGTAAAAAAGATCAACAAAGCGTAAGATAGAATAGCGCCAAATATAAAACAACGCTGGAACATATCAGTGAGCGTCAAACACACACGAAATGTTTTTACTTTTGTTATGTTTGTCAAGTTTATACTTGTTGCACACAGTTATTTTTGGTTGTACATTGATCGGAATAAAATTCCCTAAACAGACATATGCATATAATACATGATATGGGGGAAGCATTACCAGTATAAACGGCTAAAGTCACCCACCTGCAACCCGTTTGGGACACTCATGCAGACACACGCTACACCCAAAAAAAAAAATCTATGAAGGTTCGAGTCTACTTATGGCAGTTTATGTGATACAGTGTTCATTCTGGTATCAAAATACTCGTTTCAGTTTGTAGTTCATGCGATTTTCAGAATCAACTGAATCGCTGGAGGTTCAACATTTAAGTCAGAGTCATCTGACAAAACCGTCTCGTCAAATGGCAGTGTGCCAGACATCTCGGGTTCTGATTCGGTTGCTGCTTCAGCTTGAGGTGTTGAAGTGAACAAGGGCCGCCTCACACCAGATGGTCCAGGAGTTTGCATGGCGTCAGCATAGGCAGGACCTGTGTCATCATTTATGTCTGGAGCGTGCCGCAAGTGTTGAGATACTGTTGCTGTTTGAGGCCAATCTTAAGGGTCCCAGCACAATAGGGCCCAATTTGCCACCTCATGGAACTGTAGCAATGTTAGCTTTTTTTGATCAGTTGTGTTGTATTTGTACAAAACAAAGGCATTATGCAAAGCCATTTGCAGGAAATAAAACGTTATCTTTTAGGTCCACTTGTGAGTTTTCCGGGTAAAATGGTAATACCATTTGATCAAAGTGGTCCACACCTTTCATGAACTTATTGTACCATGCAGCCTAGTGGTGAGAAAGAGAGCCTCATGGCACGCAGTTTGAAACAAACCCAAAGTAAATCGGATTAAAATTGAATTTTATACAAATATTTTAAAAGAGGACATAAATTTATGTCCACCATGCGGAAGCGGTGAGGCGAAACAGGACTCCGGGCGGAGTCCTCATCAGCAGAAAGTGTTATTAATAAACACAGCTTGGCATTCACACTTGAATATGTGCAAGTTGTAGGTCACTATGTGTTCAAGTGAAGTCAACACAATATAACCCACCCAAGAAAGATGTAGGGACAGGGATAATGGGATAAGGATAACAGGTTAGGGATAATGGGACAGGGATAATGGGTTAGGGATAATGGGATAAGGATAACAGGTTAGGGATAATGAGATAGGGATAATGGGACAGAGATAATGGGACAGGGATAATGGGACAGGGATAATGGGTTAGGGATAATGGGTAAAGGATAATGGGATAGGGAAATGGGTTAGGGATAATGGGTTAGGGATAATGGGTAAAGGATAATGGGATAGGGAAATGGGTTAGGGATAATGGGTTAGGGATAATGGGTAAAGGATAATGGGATAGGGAAATGGGTTAGGGATAATGGGTTAGGGATAATGGGTAAAGGATAATGGGACAGGGATAATGGGTTAGAGATAAAGGGTTAGGGATAATGGGACAGGGATAATGGGTTAGGGATAATGGGTTAGAGATAAAGGGTTAGGGATAATGGGACAGGGATAATGGGACAGGGATAATGAGTTAGGGATAAACAATTACACTATATGTAAGTGATAAAGCCTCATCAGGTCCCCATCAGCAAAACAGCCTAAAGAGACAAACAAAATAGTTTATAATTTGTAAATAACTGCCAAAAAACTTAAGTCACGTTCTGCCACATGTGGCTGAGTCACATGTTGTTCTGCCACATGTGGCTGAGTCACATGTTGACCAATTTGATTCCAACTTCACCTCCTTAGTGACGGGTATGCATTCTCCAAGATGTTGAAAGCCACAACAAAATCAGCTTCTTTGTGCGTTGGACGGATGCTTGCATCTCTACATCCCTACATCATCCCTCAGTTCCAGTAACTCGGAGGTCAACCCGTTCTCGCACTTGCTTATAGTCAATATTGGCTTATTTAATAAGTGCATATGTGACATACTAATTGATTGTAAATATTTTAGTCTACCTTGAAAAGCTTCATAGAAAACACAGACCTTACCTAACCTCCTTAGTATGTTAACACTTTATGCGGATCAGGACATTAATTACCTGGAGTCCTGTTTGCCTAACCGCTTCTGCAATGTGGTCATAAAATGATGTCCTCAAAAAAATATTTCTATAAAATTCAATTTTAATCCGATTTACTTTGGGTTTGTTTCAAACTGCGCGCCATGAGGTTCTCTTTCTCACCACTAGGCTGCATGGTACAATAAGTTCATGAAAGGTGTGGACCACTTCAATCAAATGGTATTACCATTTTACCAGGAAAACTCACAAGTGGACCACAAAGATAACGTTTATTTCCTGCAAATGGCATTGCATAATGCCTTTGTTTTGTACAAATACAACACAACTGATCAAAAAAAGCTAACATTGCTACAGTTCCATGAAGTGGCAATTTGGGCCCTATTGCGCTGGGACCCGGAAGATTGGCCTCAAACAGCAACAGTATCTCAACACTTGCGGCATGCTCCAGACATAAATGATGACACAGGTCCTGCCTATGCTGACGCCATGCAAACTCCCGGACCATCTGGTGTGAGGCGGCCTTTGTTCACTTCAACACCTCAAGCTGAAGCAGCAACCGAATCAGAACCCGAGATGTCTGGCACACTGCCATTTGACGAGACGGTTTTGTCAGATGACTCTGACTTAAATGTTGAACCTCCAGCGATTCAGTTGATTCTGAAAATCGCATGAACTACAAACTGAAACGAGTATTTTGATACCAGAATGAACACTGCATCACATAAACTGCCGTAAGTAGACTTGAACCTTCATAGATTTTTTTTTGGGTGTAGCGTGTGTCTGCATGAGTGTCCCAAACGGGTTGCAGGTGGGTGACTTTAGCCGATTATACTGGTAATGCTTTCCCCATATCATGTATTATATGCATATGTCTGTTTAGGGAATTTTATTCCGATCAATGTACAACCAAAAATAACTGTGTGCAACAAGTATAAACTTGACAAACATAACAACAGTAAAAACATTTCGTGTGTGTTTGACGCTCGCTGATATGTTCCAGCGTTGTTTTATATTTGGCGCTATTCTATCTTACGCTTTGTTGATCTTTTTTACCTACGGGCTCATAGAACATTCTATTGTGAACACATTGGCAGAAAAATGAATGACGTACATAGAATAATAATGTCAGGACAGTGAAATAAGCATAAACTTTCAAAGAGCCGTATCGCCCATGTGTCGTCATGTCACCAATACTGGGTAACAGTTCCGCCACTTCCCACACTCTTGCGGGTGGGCCGCGACCATTATTCTACGTTTATATTCATACCACCGTGTTGGGAATTTCATTGCGAGTCCATTGATACCAAAATTAGCGCTGTAGGACAAGTGTGGAGGTAATAACAATCCCAAGAATAAAAACGTTTTGTTGCTGTTGGGCGCTCACGGCGAGTCATCTACGTAGGTTTTTATTTGGTGCTGGTATCCCTATACCTTTTGTGACCTTTTTTACTGATGTTCTTCTAGAAAATTTTATTGCGAACACGTTGGTACCAAAATGAAATACGTAGCTCGAGAACTAAGGGCAGGAGAGTAAAAAGAGTATACACATTTTTGTTTTGACGCTTAAGCGACAAAAACGCCGTGACCGCTTTTTTTTTAACCTTAGCCGGGCGGGCGAAAGTGTTAAGATAAGCATCTTATTGCTTCTTAATTACAATTATTACTTAACCTATACTGTTGATAGGTTAAGTAATAATTGTAAATAAGAAGCAATAAGATGCTTAACATACTAAGAAGGTTAGGTGAGGTCGGTGTTTTCTATGAAGCTTTTCAAGGTAAACTAAAATATTCACAATCAATTAGTATGTCACATATGCACTTATTAAATAAGCCAATATTGACCGTAAGCAAGTGCGAGAACGGGTTGTGGAGGTGGTGGTGTTATCACCAGTACCACTTGCGCACAATTTTGGTTTTTAGTTTTAAATTCGTATAAAATCCATTTCTCAACAAATTGGGATGAAATTTTCAAGATGCTGATGCCAAATAATGTTCGATTTGCTTAACATTTTACACTATTTCATATATGGACGAATATTTTTGCATATGTCGGCCACCCCCCTAAATCAAATCACCCCTCAACATACTTTTGAGTTGTTGTTCTTTAACACACTGCAGAGTGTATTATCTTGGACAGATAATCCTGCATATCTTAACTCTTTATTAATGATAAGGTTAGGCTACACATATTTCCTGCTTACTACCATATTAGGTATTGCATCTACACACTTGATTCTGGTCTTCTGAGCCATCACTTGTATCAATTATGACCTCTCATATAAACAACATTTTCAAATAACAAAATACAAAATGCAATTAAAAATCCCGCTGCAGTTGAGCCAAGCTTGTGACTATCTGAGCGAAAATATGATGATTACCTGGTTAGGGTGATTACGTTGAGTCATGTGAGTGAAGTTTTGCTGGCCTCCAATGCTGCTTTGATGGTGACCAAGACGGACTCTTTTCGACGCTGGTTCTCCTCCACCCTGTAAAAGAGTAACTTCGTAATATGGTACTATTAGCATATACAACATTTTTACCAGGACAGTAAAGAAATTGAATCAAACACACTTTCCCTGCTTAATGAACTTGAACAATTCTTGCACTTCACAAATGACATTAAAACTTTTGATATTTTTAATATTTTGCTACCAATTGTTAAATGTTTTATTGCATAAAATAAAAATTCAATATTATTAGTAATTTCCATGCATCGGTTCTAACTACCATTTTGGTACATTTCTGTTTTCCTCATCTTATGCTATGTAATAATGCGCTTTAGAATAACCATTCACCACAAAGTCATTTAATTTTGTAATCCCTTGGCTACTGTTGTAATGTGAGGGTAACAATACAAAGTTTCTAGGACAAGATCAGTAGTACTCACCAGGTTGTCAACCACCTGCGACAAAAATAACACAAACTCCCCTTTTTAGCCTTTTTATCAACCTTGGTCCCTCCACTATGTCTCGGAAGTGAACTCGCCCAAGACTATCATTGTGTCGGGCTCTGAGTGGCTCCCTTTTCAAATTGTCTTGTCCCGTTAACTAAAGTGGGTTCTAGGCGTTCTAGTCCCCAAGTCCTCTCTGGGTCCTAGGCTTGACTTGTGATAACTTGGTCCAACAGGTGGTGGCTTGTAGCAACTTGCAGGCCCACATATCCACTGCAACCCAGTTGCTTTGGCACTTCTTGCAGCAGCTTGTCTAATTGTTTCTTGAAAACATCCACTTTTGTTCCAGCAATATCTCGTGAACAACCGTGGACCTCTGATGTTCTCTGGCTGTACATATGGCTCCTCTACTCTTCACTGGTTCTATTTTGCCTTTTCTACCCTACCATTCGCTCTAATATGTTGGTATTTTACTGTTCAAATTCGCAACCAGGCAATATATTATGTGGTACCCATCTCGTCTCCTTTCTAGAGAGTACATTTTGAGAGGTTTGAGATGGTCCCAATATAACACCATAAATGGGTTTATTTAATATTTTACATAAAACGAGAGCCAAGTCACACAGGATATTAGTGTCGCCAGACAATCGGCCCGGAGCAATTCAAAAGTCACACCTTTCAAGACAATGTTTACAGGTTGAGTAGGGGTCAGGTCATGTGAAGAGACCTTGCTTTCTGCTAAGCTGATAATTGCAGCCAGTTGGCCTTATGTTTCCAGCAAACAAGCCGCTGTCTAGGTGGGGTGGGTAGATAGCCAGAGGCTATCTTCTGGTAGGCGGAGCTTAGATCCCCCATTTCCCCAATATCAGCCCGGATAGCTCCGGGGAGCCGAAGGGGCTCCCCCCCCCCCACCCCAACAGAAAATGTGATGTTTATTGAGGATAAGTTCCAGTTACTGCATTATGGAAAATACAAAAATATCAAAACAGAAAACACACATAAAACACAGTAAACCCCACTATTGACAAGACAAGGCAAAGTACAGTAAAAGTTTTAGGAGTAATCATGTCGGAAGACATTACTTTTAAAGAACACCACAACTGCAAGAAAAATGACAGGTTGATAACAAGAACCTTTTAAACAAAAGATACCACACCAATGATGATACTTTTCAAGACATTAGTGTTCTCTAGGGTGGAATATTGTTGCACACTAACAGCCCCATTTCAGACCTGGAGAGCATGCAAAGTTTTTTTTACTGACAGAATCCATTTAATAAAATATCTAAATTGGAACCATTTAAATTTTTTTAATCTGTTTTCCCTTGAGTGCAGGCAGGAGAGATTAAGTGCAATAGGTTGCACTTCAACAATCCTAGGACTGGTTCCAAATCTACACACAGAAATAACACCCCAAGTGACAAGGAGGTATGGTAGGATGTGCAAAATATCCCCCACTGAAAAGCAGAGGTGCAATAGGCTCGCCGAGAGAGAACTCGATCATCATCAAAGTCGCAAGACTTCACAACACTCTCCCTCTACACATAAAGAGCATAACTGGCCGACCCCTCTCAGTGCTCAAAAGAGAACTTTATAAACTCCTTCAAATGGTACTTGATCAACCAGGCTGTGACTCTTACTTCAGGCTGCGAGCAGCCACGTTGAACAGTCTTGTTGATCCGTCCACCAACCTGGAGGCCTGGTTAGAGACTAGGCTGCAAGAACCTAGTCTCTGACCAATCTATGAACCTTGCAATCACTGACAGGTATACAACAGGTATGACACTTTACTCAGGTGCTCATGTCACAGTTTTAGTTTAATTGATCCTCAGCAGCACCGAATTTTCATGTCAGTAGGTCAGTGGCCCAATGCTGTTTGCCTTTAGGCTGCCCTGTTGCGCCTACCCTCTTCTCGTGGTAAGTTCTACTTTCATTGTACTCCTTGGCGAGATAGCTCGGGGAGTCATCGAGGGAATCACTTTCATCACATTCAGCATTGGATTTCTGGAACTCCTTTTCCTGGTGGGTCCCCTTGCATTTGGGCCATGCATGTTGGAGGTGAACAACTGGCTGGAGCCCCGAGTTTCCAAGGATGCCATCTGGAAGTGAATGAATAACGAGCATTTTTTTGGTGCTCTACCCGCTGGGTAGGTTTTTTTTCCTCATCTTGGCATGGGCTCAACCATGCCAAGAGAAAAAACCTTCCCCAACAGGTAGAGAAGAAAACATACCCCAGACTCCTTGCCTGTATTGAGGGGGCCAGTCTGGTCCTTCGTTCCTAGGAGATGCTCATGACTTGCAAGGGCCTGGTTGGGTGCATTAGGAATGGAGCTCACTAGGCAGCTAGCTCTCGGAGTCCCAGAGGGACCTACCAGAAAGGGGCGATTTATTACAGTAATGCTGGATTTTTTGTCAGTCAGCTTTTCATCATGGGGACAATATGTTATGGATTCCTAGGTCCATATTTTTCTTTTTGAGACATTTCAGGGGTTCGGTTCTGTGGTGACCTCTATAACCTGTTGGATCTTGGCCAGATACTTGTTTCATACTCTTGCTGCACGGAGTTCTGGACCTCTCTCCAGCACTCGGCCCGTATCACCAGTGAAGTTGAGTGCGGTGTGGATGGTGCATCACTGCATCACTCTTCTGTGGGGTTCTGTAATATGACTTCACTCTACACTCTGGTGGTCCACAGACTCAAAGGGAACTCCAGTCACACCAATCTGTTGGGGTGGCCTCTGCAGACAGCTTCATTACCAGATTCTCAGGGTATAGTCCTCAATGTGGTTGACACTTGTGGAGTGTCCAATATTCTGGACATATTTCCATCTAACTTTGACAGAATGGGAGATGGACAGGGACTGTTTATACTCGATTAACAAAAAATGTGGATCGCTTCACCTCTGAATGGAAACAGGATGCTTCTTTATTTCATTCCCATTTCCGATCGCAAAGCAGGTGCAGTAGATTCTTCTCACTTCAACTGGGACTTGCTTGACCTCTTTCTGTATCCTTTTGCTGGCTTCTTATTGACTAGGTCAGGTCTGGTTCCTGCCTCCTCACTTGTCGTGCCTGTCTTCTTCGATTCCCAGGACTCTGCCTCTCCTGCAGGATTAATGGCCTGATTTACCTGGAGAATTCAACTTTATCTACCAATCTTTGCACTTGAAGTTTTGAGCCATCTATACCACTGCCTTTATGGGGACCAAGTAGCAGGTTTGAAAAAATTAGGAATGTATTTGTATGTTGTATTTGTATCCTTCCTATACCATTATGAGATAGTTTGGCAATCATTCCAGCTTTTCCTCTCTATTTGGCAGCTATCCGGTTTTATTTTCTGTTTTTGAACCCTTGGGTGTCCACACCTGTCATCTGATGGTTCACAGGGGATTGTCGGAAAATCCGACACCATTTAATAATCATACAGATAATAGCTGTATTACCCACAAGTTACCCATAGAAAACCATTCGTAGAGTCCAGGTATATTGAGACCAGAGGCTCACACGGGAGCAAATTCGGCTCCTGTTAAATTTACTTGGACGTAGTGTTATGGAAACCAGGCAAGCAGGGATATAGGGTTAGCAGGTTGAACCCTTGGGTGTCCACACCTGTCATCTGATGGTTCACAGGGGAGTAATACTTGAATATTAGCCTTTCAAGAGTTGACAGGGAAATGAAATCGCATTAGACTTCTAACCCCTGCAACTCTAGTACGGGACATCCGTCCTGTACGAACAGACGCACAAATGTGTGATTACTAACTACTAACATCAAATTAATCAAATAATTAGAAGGAGGAGTATCGGTGTTCGTCTGTTCTAAAGAGGACTTCGACCCGTGAGCAGCAATTATGTCGGAAAATCCGACACCATTTAATAATCATACAGATAATAGCTGTATTACCCACAAGTTACCCATAGAAAACGTAACTTGTAGTGGAATTACCGTCTAAAGAAAACGGGATATCATCACCACATACTATTATAATTCACCAGCTATTATGGTGGGAATTATTCATACATTAGGGACTTTACCATCATAAAAACATCTTATATAAATTAACTTAATTATCAATATTAAAGTAGAGTAAATGTGACCCTTCTATCACTTTCTGAAATCTGGACAAAGTAGGCCAGGCGTCAGAAGGAGGAAGGGGCAGCCATTGTGGTTATATTGAGACCAGAGGCTCACACGGGAGCAAATTCGGCTCCTGTTAAATTTACTTGGACGTATGTGTCTATATTTTCTCTAATCAAGATCGTTTACTAGCTTTTGCCTGTAGTTTTTTGGTTGCTTTTACTCCATTATGATGTTGACTTTAGATGCTGATGCTTCACTGTTCACCGAGAAGTTACCGAGGGTAACCCAGAGAGGTACTACTGCATTACCAGCTGTCACGATACAAAATGCAACAACAAAATAATGTACTACATTTTAAATGTATTCAGTTTACAGATGACTGGTTTGTAAAGACTCTGATAATGTGTCACCTTGGCTATATGGAAACAAAAATAAATTATTATACTGCATTACATACACAGAGAAATAGATTAAATCAGTTAATTTCACCTATCTGCAATTTCAAAGTATATATCG